ACTTGCTGTCCCTTGGCCATGAACACTCTTCTCTTTATCTTCCTCTGGTTCAGCCTTCTTTCTTTTGGTCTCAGCTTGGGTGACACTTCCTTTAGGGCCTCCCCTGAGCCCCAGGGTAGGATCAGGAACCCTTCTGTGTGCACCCAGGGGATCCTCTGACTATCTCTGTGATAGCACTGACCACTTATAACTGCCTGCTTACTTGTCCTACTTTCCTTTGAGACCAGAAGTTCCTGTAAAGCTAAGTCTATGTCTTTTTATCACTGTGTGCTCCAGTGTTCAAAACATGGCTGAATGCATGAATGAATGAATGAATGAATGAACAAGTCAAGGTAGGAAAAGGTGAGAAGAGGCCAGTCAGGGCATGGCTGGGTGCCCGGTAACCTCCACACCTCAACCTTCTCTCTAGACCCACCTGCCTCATGAGCTCGGGGTTGTTGAGCATATGGCTGATCTCGGGGTTCCGCTCCATCAGCTGCTGCATCTGGGGATTGGCCATGATCATATGGCGCATCAGGTCGGGGTTAGACATCATGTCCTGGACCAGAGGGTTCTCCATGATCTGTGACAGCATCTCAGGATTGGACATCAGCTGCCTCTGCATCTGCTGCTGCAGCTCCATAAAGTTGGCAGAACCCAGGCCTAGGCTGCCCAGGCCCAGGATGCCCCCAAAGCCAGCTGTGGGGAGGGGGCAGGGTCACAGTCTGTCACAAGACTCTTCCCCTACCTGGCCAGAGCCACTGAATTCAGGTCTCCAGGATGGGCCCCTTCTGCTTCTCACATCTCCCTTTTCCAATCATTTCCACAGCCCCAGCGTAGCTGGCAAAGAGATGTGAGCCTACTAGACTGAGACCTCTTTGATGGTAGAGGCTGACAGCCAGGCACAGTACTGAGCACAGAGGGCAACCGGTGACGGCCTATTGAATGAGCAAATAAATATCCCCTAACTGGCTACTGTTGGACCCACCTTCTTCCCAAATTCCAATATCCTCACCCAGGGTTCCCCACATCTCCAGCCCCACTGCTCCCCTCACTCTTAACATTTCACCATGCTCCCCTCACAGACTGGTTTCCTCCCCTGCTTGTCTCAAGTACCAATGTCTGGAACCCTCTGTCCAGGGGTCTCCATCCCCATCAGACCAGGAGCAGGGACCATATTTCCCCCTCCTCTTGGCTCTCCCCCACTCCCTAGCCCAGATAAGAATAGTGCCCTTCTCCCTAAGGGCTTACAGAGTATGGATGCCGTGGCACTGGGAGGTCCCTCCCCTGTCCCTGGGGAGGGACCCCCCCCACTGCTCCTTTGGCTTCCACTGCCAGTATCTGAAGTGGCACTGCCAGAGGTGGAGGGCTGGGCAGGGGTGGCAGGTGAAGCAGGCGTGGTGGAGGGTGCTGAGGCTGGGTCTGGAGTGGAAGGGGAAGAAGCAGTGGCAGTAGCTGGATCTTGAGCCCTGGGGACAAAGAAAAATTCTAGTCGAAGTGAACACAAAAGGGAAGACAACGATTTCTATGTTTGCTGTGCAGCTACAGCCCTAACCTAAGGCACCTCCTAAGCAACCCTGTGGCTGGGACAGGGTAATGTTGGTGGTCAGTCAGTAAATCAGACAAGGGGAGGGAGGAGCTAGTGTTCTCTGTCTTCAGGGCATTCAGGGAGAGGTAAGTCAGCTTCCCTTCCCCTGCAGATGAGATCATAGGGCTTCCTGGCAATCCTTCCAAGAACCACGTTCCTAGGCCTTGGCATCGGTCTTCCAGGTACAGTTGAGTGACAAGTAAGAAAGTATCAGATGGGGGAAAAAAATCCCAATTTGAAGCTGGACCTGCTCTTCTCCTGAACTTACTTCTGAGGGGTCTTGATGACCAGATGGACGGTGAGCCCATCCTTGATCCCATGCTGGTTCAGTGTGTCCCCATCCTTGAGGATCTTGCCTGCGAAGATCAGGACCAGCTGATCCTGCTGAGCCTTAAATCTCCGGGAGATTTCCTCCTTGAACTGTGATGAAGAAGCAAAGGTCACTGTGGAGGCTGCCTGGGCTCCACCAACCAGGGACACTGCCTCTTCTTCAAGAGCCTCTGCATTCCCTTGCTCCCACCTCTAGTCATGGGAAGTCCTTTTAGCAGTCCTGACTCCACCCCTCCAGCTACAATAAGCAGCACCTTTCTTAGCCAAGGAGCTAGACGGGTGAGAGGCTCCTCTCAGCTCTACCCCAGGGTCTCCCACCCTAGAAAGCCCTTGCTTCTATCTGCCACTCCTTCTTCAGTACCAGTTCCCTGTGAGGGTACTGCCTGAGCAGTTCTTTCCATCCCAGCTTCTTCAACAGCCTTGGGACTAGGCCCTGTCTCCCTTCTCTTCTGGGACCCCAAGTCTCTCTTCTCTTTATTCCCAGAGTTCCTGTAACAACTACAACAAATAGATCCCAGTTATTTATAACAGCACTAACTACTCACTAGTTAAGAGTCTAAATCCCGTAAGATACATATTAATTATTATCCCCATTTTAAAGATGAGAAAACTGAGGATCACAGCAGTTAGGTAACTTGTCCTGGGCAGACTGGAACTCAGGTCTTGACGCCAAAGCCCAGGCTCTTAATCAAACATATGGGGCCTCTCAATTAGAGCTGAGTTCAAATTCAGCTCTGCAGGAAACATGATTTATACTCTGGAATGTAGTCATTTTAAAGGTTGGAGGAAGGGCAATGATGGCACTAAAGGCTGGCTAGGGGAGAGTTAGACTCCCCAAATCTATCAGCAACCCCCCCAACCCAACCCAAACCAGCAAACACTTAGATAAAAACAGTGCACTTGCTAAGCAAGGGCAGCTTCCAGATCCCTCCCTTCCAATCAGATGGTCTATCTTAAGCCCCGCCTCTGTGAAATTCTGGAGCTGCCACAGAGGGGTGGCAAACACAGGCAATATTCCCTCATTCACTCATCAACACATTTTTATTGAGCACCTAGTGCACACCGTGTAAATCCCACAGGGGCTGAGAATCAAATGTAACCACCTTGATCTGAAAGTGCAGTAAAGATCAGGGCAGAGGGAAATCCTCCCCCGGACCCGCCGGGCGTCAGAATGCTGGGGGTTCTCTGAGGCGCCCAGTAGGTGCCCGGAGCTCTCCACCGGCTCCCCCGCCGGCTCTCCTGGCTCAGCACCTTGCCAGGCCCCCATTCTGCCTCAGCGCCTCGAACCCCAACCTGTAACCGGAGCCAACACTCCGCTCAAACCCAGGGTCCTTCCCCCTTCCCTGCGCAAGGTGTCCTCTTCCCACTCTCCACCACGCCCCCAGCCCAGGCCACAAGGCAAACCCCGGCCTCCCTTCCCCAACACTCGCCACGCTCCCCCAGATCACCCTCGCAGGACGCCCCCTACCCGCCTCTCCTTCCCTTTTGCTCCTCCGAGTGCCCACTGGGCCCCCGCCCTCCTCTCCCCGGCCCTCGCGTACACGCGACCGTCTCAGAGCCACCTCTCCTCTTCGCAGACCCCTCCTCCGCGCTCCCTCCCACCCCCGCCACCCGTACTACCTCCTTGACCGAGGCTCGATCGCAGATCACAATTTCCTCCTTGTCCTTCGGGGTCTTGACGGTGACCCTAATGGGGGGCCTCGTCTCGGCCCCGCTCGGCTCCGCCATGCCGCCGCC